TGACTTCTTCTCTTCCAACCCTGCTGCCGGCTGAGCCAACCCAGTGGTTTGGGAGCAATGCCCTGTGCAACTCACTAGGAGAGACCGGTTCCATTTCTGAGCGTAATCCTCATCTGGGAGAGCTGCAGCATGCGGTGGGGGGGGCGGGGGTGTTTCTAACCGGCTGAGGCGTCTGAGCCAAAGCCCATTGAGGTCAATGGGATGCTTTCCACTCACTTCAACCGGCACTGAATGAGCCCCAAGGAACTGTTGTTGATTGGCTCTGCAAAGGGCTGTGCCATCCGTTCTCCTCAGCTGGGAAGCCTGACGGCCTTAAAGATAGGAGGGGGGTTACACTGGGAAATATCAGGGGACCGGAGAAGCAGAAAGGGTCTTGAGTGCCCAATGCTGCCATTGTAACGTTGTCACCTTGCAGTCTGCTCTCTGGTACACAGGCCTGGTGTGTAATGTCTGCGGAACGCTGCCAGCCAAGGGAACGCTGCATTACAGAGCCCAGTCACTGAAGATTTGGCACATGCTTCGGTCATCAGGTCAGGGCTTGTGCATATGAATGGCAGCATTATTGATTGCCCTAAACCAGCATGAAGAGCCCCAGAGAGGAAATGGTAACGTTACCTTGCACAACGGCTAATCGGCTTTAAACGCAGAAAAGAGTTTTAAGAGTTTTTTCCACTGACTCTTACAAAAAACGAAAGTCATCTTAATTCTCTAGATAGCATGTGTTTTAAGTGGAGATGGGGGACATGCTGAAGCAGAGAGCTCTGTATTTCCCAGGCAGTCTGGAAGGTTTTTGTGTCATATACAGGGATAGTTAACGCTAACTTCCCTTGAAACCTAAGGTTCATTTCACTAGCTTTATTAATATTCGTGGACTGCAGCATCCTCTGTCTGAGGATATCAAGGCGCTTTGCATACATTATTTAACCCTCAAAACCCGTAAGAGATGGGGGATTTATTATCCCCAATGTCACTGGCAAACTGAGGCTGCATCTTCACATTTGGGCACCTGAGATTATTGGCCTAAATAACCGGCCTAATTGTCAGCAGTGTTGAAAAAGGGAGTTGGGGATGCTTCGCACTACTGCTAGTCAGACTAGTTATTTAGGTGCCTAAATTATCAGTTTAAGTGCCTACATTTACTCCTCTGAGTTTGACAGTTAAGCCCTAAGTGAATTGCTCACCCACAGCAAATCACTGGCAGAGCTCGTTACGAGAATCCGAGTTGTAGCCCACCCCTTGTGCTTGAACCAACGCATCGCACTCTCTGGTAGCAGAGTTAGGCTAAAGAAAGCAGCATGCCCTGCTCCGGGGGTGGGGCACAGCTCCCAGCATGATTTATGAGGAGAGGCTGAGGGAACTGGGATTGTTTAGTCCGCAGAAGAGAAGAATGAGGGGGGATTTGATAGCTGCTTTCATCTATCTGAAAGGGGTTCCAGAGAAGATGGATCTAGACTGTTCTCAGTGGTGGCAGATGACAGAACAAGGAGTAATGGTCTCAAGTTGCAGTGCGGGAGGTCTAGGTTGGATATTAGAAAAAACTTTTTCACTAGGAGGGTGGTGAAACACTGGAATGGGTTACCTAGGGAGGTGGTGGAATCTCCTTCCTTAGAAGTTTTTAAGGTCAGGCTTGACAAAACCCTGGCTGGGATGATTTAGTTGGGGATTGGTCCGGCTTTGAGCAAGGGGTGGTACTAGATGACCTCCTGAGGTCCCTTCCAACCCTGATAGTCTATGATTAAAGTGGTGCATCTCCCTGTTGCTGATCTGACTAGTCTGAGATTCTCTGTCGTGCCAGTATCCACAGTCTCCAATCTGCATAGCGAGATCGCTAGTGGGTCTCAAGGAGTCATTCCTCTTTTCTAATTTCTTTAGGCCTCGTCAGAGAACAGTACATGCTGATTAGTTCAAAGCATCTGCTACTGAAGGGGTTCCCAGCCTCTTTCCCCACTCAGTCCCTCACCCCTGGTCTTTCCCTGCTGGGCCTTAGAATCCTTTGCACCTATCACCAGGGCATTTCGTGGAGTTGTTCCAAGAAACGGTGCAGTGGTTTCTGGCAATCACCAGTCCAGAGCTGCTGAGCAAATCTTCTACACTGGAATGGCAGAGATGTGCACTGAGACCTGGCTCAGGCTGTGTTTCATCGACTGTTCTTATCACTCGTGCTCTCACTTACGCTTGTGCACTCCCCCGGGAGCCCGACTGGTAGAGCACTTCCTGAGTCATTCATTCATATGGCCTGAGCAGAAATTATTAGGAGCAATAAAAGCAAGCGCCTCTTAATGTAATTGATGCTGGGAGTAGCTTCCTGAGGAGAGCTTTGCAATTAGCATTGCTATTAATTTTGCAAATGGTCGGGCTGAGCTGCCACGGAACTGATAGGAAATGCCAGGCACTCTTCAGTTGCCAGCGTCCCAAGGAATCCCCTTTCGGAAGCATCTCCCCATTTCTGGAGAGGCGGATAACTCCTCCCATGTGGTGTCAGTTGCCTGAAGACCTTGAGTGTCTCTTGCTACGGCCTAGGAAGGTGGGCATTTTCCTTGACGGTTGGGAAAGCCAGTCCAAGCAATTCCAGGGGGTTACCTCTGTCACCTGCTCTGCAGTGCCAGCTTGCAAAGAGATGGGGAACAGGGACTGTGTGTACAACTAGGACTGTGTGTCATGTGGTTAACGTCGTTTGAGCCTTTTGTGACCTTATATGGAATTAATGTCACTTCTTCTAGCGAGTGTGATTCTTGGTGGGGTATGTGAGAGATGTGCCAGCCGATTGGCCCGTCTCCGCGGCTCTGCCCACATCCTCAAAGGTATGTAGGTGTCTTGCTCCCACTGAGATCAATAGGAGCTAGGCGCCTAAATACCCGTTGAGGATGTGGGCCCTTCTCCCTGTGCTCTTCCTCCAGGTAGGCAAAGGGAAGCAACGTGGACAAACCCAATTTCTTACTGTTCACTAAGGAATTAGTGATGGGAATCCCAATTTCACAGGAAGCTGAGTGGAGATTTAATCAAAAGGCTTTAAGGCAAAAGGAACTATCCCAGCCCCCCAAAGCTACTGAAGTCTGAGTGGGATAATTTTCACTTTTCGTATGCTTGGCATAGCTGGGGGCATAGGGAAATGTTGCAGACCCAGCATGGGGAATTAATAAATCGGTGGCCCTGCCAAAACAAAGCAAGACTCCCTTTGAGGAGTGCAGGGGAGTTCTGCCCATCAGACCCAAAAACCGCCTTACGTTCTTTTGCCAAGCCTATTGCCAGAAACCCCACCCTGTGCTTAGCTCCCATGTCAATTTGGGTTGTTGTTTTTTTTCCCTCCAGGTATCTCACGAATTTGCCATTAACTTCAACCCCACCAACCCATTCTGTTCTGGTAAGTACATACGTGGGCCCAGACCTTTCTGGCTTGGGAACCTGTATTTGCTGACTGCTAGGACTTGTTATCTCCCCTGTGGTGTCTTCCAAAGACCCGTGTCTTCCAAAGAGCAGTGTAGCAGGTCCTAACTAAGTCTTCAGAAGAACCTGTGTTCAAGCAGTGCAGTGTCCTGGAGGGTCATAGGAGAAAGAGCATTGCATGCCTCCTGTACCTTTACAAGTCCTCTTGAAGTTGAAATTTGGTTACAGTGACTTTCACAGATCCCATGATAGATTTGAAGCCAGAAGGGACCATTATGATCATCTGGTCTGACCTCCTGCATAACACAGGTCTTAGCAAGAATAGGACAATCTCAGGTGAGCTGTCTCAGCCCCTTGTACTTGCTGAGAACACCTCTAGTATTTGTGCTGTACCTACTTCACTAGGTCACTATCCGATTGTCCTGATTTTCAGAGAGCTTTCTATGTTACTGTTCTTTGTGTGTATTACGGTAGCATTCACAGACCAGGGGCCCAATGT